GGGGGGGGGGGGGGGGTGGCGTGTACTCATGTAAACTGCATACCGCAGTCGGTAGACCATGGACCCGGCGTCCCGATAGTGTCGGGACGGAGCGATGTGCCGGGTTTTCGCTGGCCCAGGCTACATTGTGCCGTAACCAAACCTTCGGGGGGGGGGGTGGGCATTGAGGCATGCCATGGCACAGCAGTAGCCGGAAGAGTGGAGAGGTGAGTCCTGACTCTCGTCACTCGTTCCTTTGCCATGAAGCAACCCAGGCGTGTTTTTGAAATGACGTGTTGAGTATCTCCGTCGTTGTCTTTGTTCTCAACTCTCCCCCCCTGCCGCTCCGAAAAGGACTCCCTGTCGCCGTTCGTGGCGGAGGCCTGCCTGGCCGTGATGCCGCCGCCGCCGGCCAAGGCGATGCTGGCGGTAGAGAACGTGCGCGTGTGCAAGCTGCTGGGGGGCAGCACGGCAGACTCGCACGTAGTTCGGGGGATGGTTGTCCAGCGCGACTCTCAGGTACGTTTGGGGGCTCTGCCTGCGCGAAGAGATTGAATTTAGTCTATTCTGTGGAAAAGTAGAGAGGAGAGGGGTTACGTAGATTATCCATCATGTTTGCCAATCTGCGTAGGCTACTGCAGGCTTGTTGCACAGGGACGATGGTCCAGCGACTTGGCACCCCACACAAGGGAGGCTACCCTCGAAGTTTTCGTGATTATGAGGCAGTAGAAGTTGGTTCTTTTTCTGCGCAGTTGTGTGGTAGGCGATGAAAGAATTGCATTAGTACAGCTCTGGAATGGAGGTGTTGTTCTGGCCGGAATTCGAAGACCTCGCTCCAGCGAAAGAGAACAACATCTGTGGTTCGGCAGGCGGGGGGACCCGCGAATGTATTTTCCTGTTCGGAGCGGTCTCCTACGGCCAGTTACAGTCTACAAATTCATGAAGAAGACTTGATGGAGCTAAGATGGCACAGGACTTCCAAGGAAACGAGACATGGGATGGGACGTACCATTTGTGAAGGACTGAAAGGATGGTCGGTTCGTCTCCCAGAGACTTTGTAAGCCATGGCGCGAACCGTTCTGACGAAAGCTCGGGGTGTCTTGTCTTGTCTTGTCCCTCTGTCTCTCTGTCTCTGTCTGCACAGGGTTCGGTGAAGCGTGCGGAGAATGCGAAGGTGGCGGTGTTCGCGTGCGGGCTGGAGATGTCGTCCACGGAGACGAAGGGCACCGTGCTCATTCGCACCGGCGAGGAGCTTATGTCCTACAACAAGGTGCGCTGCCGGTGTGTTTTTCGTGTGTGGCCCCACTTGAGGACCTCTGTTAATAGGTTCGGCCAAGGCTGGTGTTCTTACTGTATTCCCAGGGTCATGCTACTCAAGATCGCTATACACGTTTCCCCTGAGTTCCTAAGTGGTGGCGTGTTCTGTGTGGTTGTTGTTGGCCGTATTTTGCCGTTTTTGTGGGGGCATTGCTTGGTGCATGTCCTATCACAACAAGGTGCCGCGCGAGTGTCGCGTGCGCCGTTCCATGTAGGGTTTGTCGACCTCTCCTCGGACGGACAATTCTTTTTTTCTACGTTGCTTCGAGGCGGTAGAGGCGTCTTCTTGTCGCAATTACCGGGGTTGCGTGCGGGCCCATCCCCTGTCCCTTGGTTTTCACCCTGGGCTATTTTGAACTGGAAGGCGTTAATCTTGGCGTCGCCTCTCCGTCTTTCGTGTCATTCGATTATTTTTTTCATCCGTCGGACAGGGCGAGGAGAAGGTGGTGGAGGACGCGATGAAGTCTATCGCCGACGCCGGAGCCAAGGTCATCGTGGCGGGGGGCACGGTAAGAGACTGACTTCGGAGTTTGTCGTCGTCGTTGTCGTTACCGTCATCATGTTCGTTATCGTTGTTGTTTTTTTTGTTTTTGGTGGCGTAGTCGGTGTTGCTGCTGTTGTTGGTGGTGGTGGCGGTGACGGCGTCAATTGTCGTTGTATTTTTTGCTTGCTTGCTTGTTGTTGTTGTTGTTGTTGTTGTTGTTGTTGTTGTTGCTGTTGTTGTTGTTGCCGTTGGTGGTGATTGTGATTGTGATTGTGATTCTGTCGTGTTGTTGGACGTCGTCACGTCGCGTTCACCTCGCCTCGTCCCACCCAGGTGAGCGACATGTGCATGCACTTCATCGAGAAGTACGAGATGATGGTCATCAAGGTCCTCAGCAAGTGGGAGCTGCGGCGCATCTGCAACGCCGTGCACGCGACCGCGCTCGTTCGCATGGGGGCCCCGACGCCCGACGAGATGGGGGACTGCGCCCTCGTGGAGGTGCGGGAGGTGGGGCTGCGAAAGGTGACGGTGTTCAGCCAGGACGACGACGACTCCCGCATCGCCACGATCGTCCTAAGGGCCAGGTCAGTGTCGCTCTCATTGTTCTCGCTCCCTTGATGGGAGTGCCTCTCTCTCTCTCTCTCTCTCTCTTTCGCTCTCTCTCTCATTCTTTCTTTTCCCTCTTTTTCTTTTCTCTCTCTCGTTTGGGTTGACGGTGTGCTCAAGTGTAGGTTAATGGTTGTGCCATGTGAGGGTCTCGTTTCTCTTAGGTTATGGCTTGGAAATTGGGAACGGTGTGGCGAGCACGGCGATAATGAATCCCGCATCGTCAACACTGTCTTCGTTAGGGGCGGAGCATGTACAACGTCTATTTCTGTTTACCTGACTCTATTGCGTCACGCCCATCCCCGTAGAACTGTTCAAGCTCTGATGGTTGTCTTGCTTGGGGATCACGATCTCAAACGTGTCTAGGCTGTTTCCCACCCGTCCTCATTCTGCCCACCCGAAGGATGTGAAAAATCACCCCCAATGCGAAGACCGTGTTCATGTAGTCGCGGAATGTCCGTTGTACAAGAAGGAGAGGGAAGTGTACGTGACTGAGCTGGGAAAAATAGATGGAACGTACAGGGAGATGTTTGAGGCATGGAATAGAGAGGAAAGGACGGTAGCTGTAGTGGGGCATAGGAGGTGGGTTGAAAAGGCGGGAAGGGATATCGTTAGGATAGACAGACTAGGGAAGACATTTTTGAGCCACCTTTGGCAAAGTAG